AATAATGCAATGATAAAAAAACACCAGCTAATAAAAGAATTGGAGTAAAATATTTTAAGCTTTTTATCACTTTTAGAAAGTTTTCTAACCGAAAATAATTTGAAAGTAAAAGAATAATTATCGTCCAACATTAAAAATCATCGTTTTCCATTGATAATTTCAAAGTGTATTTTGCCGAGGATTATGCAAAAAAAAAAAAAAATCGGTTTAGAAATCCATTTTGTTCAAATGTACCTGAAATTTTATCTCGTAAAGAAAAAGAACAATTGATAGAATTTTCCTAACTGAAGATTTAAAAAATAACACACTTTTTAACTTTTAGCTGAACCGAAAAGAAGACTCTAAAGACATTTCGAATAAAGCTATTAAATTTTTATTGCCTTTTTTACAACCTATTTGTGTGAACAAAGATTTTCTTCCATATTATATTTGAAAAATAAAGATAGAACAAAATTAAAAGTGCATCCTAGTTTACGGTTAAATCTAATTGAAATAAGAACAGCATAAAGAAATTTATCTCTCCCAAACTCCGTACTGAATTTTAGAATAAAGTGTTATAACTTAAATTTTGATAATTAAAATGGTAACCAATTTTTAATCTAATATTTTTATATGTGCATATTTAACAGAAATAGCCAATAGTGTGTGCAAATGTATATATATATATATATACTACATATTAATATTTCTATTGGAAAACTGAAAAATAATCATTGTAAAATGTAGTGATGGTACTAAAAGTTTTTCAATTTTTGTTTAGATAGTACGCGTTAGTCAAAAGGTTGAAAACCGCTGATCTAGTAGATAGTTATGAGAATTTTTACTATGTGATTAACAGTGTTAAATTTATAGGCATGCACATATAGAGTGTGCCCCTGAAATATTGATAATTTTAGCTAAAGTCGTACGAATTTTTTACAGTAATTCTGAAGATACTTAATACATACTCTACTTACTTTTAAAAGTGAGCATAATTTTTAATTTGTCTTAACCATAAATATCTTCTTTGCTTTAAAAGTGGTATTTACTTCTAGTATGAAGAAGAGAATAAAATTATTACGAATATTATATATGTGCAAATAACTATAGCGAAATTTCATGTGAAAAGAGATTATCTCTTGTATAATGTAACATGAAAGGCTTCGAGAGAGTGAAGCTCTGCCGGAAAATTAATGTTACTGGGACAAATCCATTTAAGATTGAGGTAGCAATTTAGCTGTCTCGCTAAATTGACAAGATATTGCCAAGCTGCCGATGATTTTGGCATGAAATTTCCGTCCGGTTCCTGAATAACTATAGTCTGTTCAGCAATTGAATAATTAATTGATCCTTGTATGTAACTGTAACCGTATATGCTTCCCAATAATTTCGAAAAATAGAAGGTACTGGAAATTTCTCGTCGGCGAGAGTAAATTTATATCAGACTAGAGAAAGCATCAGGTCTCAGTTTTTCTGTTCAAAGCAAACTTTCTTTATTGTTATCGTTACTTGATTGTCCAAACTTTGTAATCTTGAAGCATCAGATCAAAAAATTGTTTGTGGTGACATCATTTGCAACTTTTAAAACCTGAAAACGCATGTGTGCGATGTTATCGTCATGTGATGATTTGTCGGTACTTTATTTTTTACCATGACATTTTCGACGACGACGTTTTTAAACTGCGAAGTTTTTGAACCATTTTATTTTCGACCACGATATATTGTGCCACGATGTTTTGGAACTGCGATGTTTCGTCTTTGCTTTCTTTTCCCTCACGATGTTTTGTACCGCGACATTTTCACCTTGCGTTATTTTCTCCGCGATGTTTTCGGGGGACACCCTCGAATTAGCTATGGACCTCGGATTCAAGTACTTCAGTTTTCTAATATTATTATAAGTGACATGCAAAAGTATCCCAGTCCTCCTGAAATATTAATTAAATCAGATGTCGCAGGAAAACTCTTTAGAGGTTTAAGGATAAGAATTTAAAGGAGGTTTAGTTGTCATGAAAACTAAATTAGGCTGGATATTACTGAGAAAAGTTCCTGGATATCAGAATAGGAGAAATGTAAATAATGCTGTAACTTCACTGCTTGCAACCGAAGTTATGACGAACTACATTTTGATTTCAGAGGTTGGGAGCACAATTGTTCAGAAACTTCTGTACTTGGAACCAAGAAGTCAAACGTTTTGGAATTATTATGCGATAGAGTAGCTGATACTCTGGAGATTAGTCCAGAAGGTTTGGGATTTAAAGAAGAGAAAGTGGTGACTAAGAAAAAAATCTTGTCCTGAATGCCATATGTTACGCAAACACTACGATCATGTCCTTTCTTTAAAACAGACTCGAATGAGCCATGCATATGATTTGGGGCAAGAAAAATACTCTTCATTAGAATAATAAAAACAAATTTATTTACAGGAAATGAAAATTCGTTAATAGTTACGGTATCACATCGTTATCTTACAAGAGAAGAAAAACTCATTCTTGTCAATCTGCCAATCTGCTACTGCTAAGTATTGGCATCAAAAGGTGTGGCTCGTCAATAACCAACCACGGGAAAAGAAACCCACTAATTATAATCACAAGGTAATGTTACAAGCTGTTGGAATTTTCCCACTAATTTATTATTTTGAGACACGGTAATATATCCAGTGTTTTTCGGACAATGTATATATTCAGTATCTAGTATCATTATCAGTTCGGGGGAGAAAAATATTGCATTAATAGTAGAATTTTCTATTACTATTGCGATTCTCTTACACAATGAACTGGAGTTCTTAGTTGGAACTGTAATATATTCCAGCCAAAATTACGATTTCACTCAAAGATTGAGAAGTACCAAAGTCTAGCTCAGCTCAGATCAGCTTTGGCTGAATCTTACTTATTTCCAAATTCTTCTATAAGTCTTAGCTGACATGTGCCCAAACATGTATGAACAAATTCATGTAACTGAACCTATTATTAATGAGTCGGTTAACGCCTTGAAGGGCGGTGGTTACCGTAATAGAAAGTTGAAATTCAATTCAATTTAATAGAAATTGAACTATTAAATTGAAATTTAATTCAATTTAATAGGTAACCACCTTTTCTATTAAATATCTTATCACTCGTGTGAGTGGTTTTTAAGACTGACCGTTTCTAAAGTTCCCTTGTAGCTCACTAGATGGCAATAAAGAAACATAAGCAAGTAGTTGATTCAGCAGTTCGTCTTCCAAGAGAATAAGCGTCAGACGTCGAAGACAACATCACGATAATGTGCACCTTGCAGCACCAAGAAAAAGCCTGTAAGAACAATGTGGGAATGCAGCACATGCAAAGTTGCACTCTGCTTGAAAAAGAAAACATGTTTCCATGAGCATCATAGTCACTGATTTATTGGGATGTGTTCTGTGGGCGGTAGTCACTGACACCAGAAGTGTTTTTTTTTTTTTTTTTTTTTTTTTTTTTTTTTTTTTTTTTTTTTTTCCACGCGTCTTGGACAAAATATGTGTAATTGTCGCAAATAATTTCATTGTTTCACTGATATAGTAAATAAAACAAGAGTTTTGCAGAAAAAAATAACCGCCTTATCCTGCCCCTCAAAGAGCTAACAGATCGATATGCAGGGCTTAATTTCTAAATTTAGAAATGCCGGAGCCCTATGGAAGACCGTCAGTAAAGAAGAACAAGAGTAACTAAATAAATAAAATGACTATTAAACTCATTAATAATTTTTAAATTAAATAGTTGATTAATTAAATAGCTATTAATTAAATTGATAATAATGTTTATTAATTGTTATTTAATCAATAATGATTATATAATTAATTATAATTTAATTGATAATTATTAGATAATTGATTAATTATTATTTATTGAAATAATTAAATAATTAAGATTAATTAATTAAATAATTAAAATTAAATGCGAAGAAATAAATTAAAATTTAATAGGCGATTTTTAATTTAATTTTATTGCTAAAAATAAAATTTTCGACGTAAAATTTCTACTGAAATTGTTATTCAATTGCATAAAAGGAGTGCCGCAGCCTTCTTATTTAGGGCTCCGGTGCGCTCCGGCTAGAATTATGATTTATTACAGAAACCAATTTAAGTTCTGATCGTAGGAAGAGAAAAGTTCTTTTATCATCACAAAAATTAAATACACCTTAAGTATAGCTGATGAAAATTCAGACAATGCTAAAAACATGGCGAAACAGAATAAGGGCGTGAGGGTATGAGTGGGTGGAAACAAAAAATGAGAGGAATCTTGGTGAGAGAGAACATTCTCTTGGACCGCGGCTCTCTGCTGATATAATTATAGCCATCAAGCAGATGTATGTCAGGGGTAAAATGAGTCCTGAATCTGATTCCTAAGGATAAATGTAAAGTTGCTAGCTAGACTTTTTGCCTCCTGTATTTGGTTACATTAGTGAATTCTGTGGGAAGACGATGCTTGAGCATAGGAGCATGCATTATAGGACGTGCTTGAGCAGTTTATTTCACTCTTATTGTACTGGCTGTCACTTAACGCACATTTAAGAACACATATTTCCTTCCTGCGAAGATAACTAACTGTAACCATCGATAACAATACACTAGATACGATGGCATGGCGAAAAATTTACGCGTTCCTAAACAAACTCCCCCAAATTTATTGCCCTTCTTAAAGGGCATGTGAGTGAGGGGACTTTATTTAAACGTCTCATGTTCTCATGAGTTCGTATTTCTAGCGAAATAGAATATTGCAACGTCTGCTTATTGTTAAACTAAAACGTTAGGAATTCTAATTTTTTTCCCTTGAAATTGTGGCTCAGTTTTATAAAAAGAAGTACCGGAGCTCATCTTAGTTAGTGCTCCGGTGCGCTCCGGCTAGAATTGTAATTTATCTTAAAAGCTGAGAAGTACCGGAACCGGGCTCCGGTACTTCTCAGTGTGGCTCCGGTGGACTCCGGCACAATTTAAGCACTGTCAATATGAGCATCTGTTGTGAAATTTCATGCTATTTAAATAATGCCATTAAATTTTGAGTCTTACGATAAGGTATCAGAGTTTTATTCATAAAAATATATAAATATAAAAATGGTACAAGTAAAACAGATTTTCAAAAAGTATTTCATTGTCAAATTAACAGTCACATTAAAAACTATTTCTGACGATTAAATATTCCTTAATATTCAATACAGATTACACAATATATTTTCGTCCTCCATCATGAAAAATTCTATTGCACAAAATTTGCTTTCTACCATTAGTATGGTGTAAGCATTCCAGTATTTTTTTGCTTTCACATGACTTTTTCTACTATTATAAATATGTTTCTCGTTTAGCAATATCAAATTAAATTCTGTATTAATTAACATAATGAGTAAAAACATTACAAGCACATACACACAGTTTGACCACAAAATATCCAAAAATGATGTTCAACAATTAACTTCAAAAATTTGTAAACAAACGACTATGAATTATGAAAATATTTTTTAGATATCTAACATGAATGAATTTGCAGTGCAGTAAATGACAGGACAGTAAGAATGTAGTAAAATAACTTCTACAAACTTTTATACATGAAATTAATAAAAACAATAAAACCTTAAAATGTAAAGTCAGTCAAACCAGGTGATTTCCTATTAAAAGGAAATTGTTCTCCCAGTCAAGGATCTTTGTCTTGAAAGGCTTCTTGCTAATAGTATAGTAGGTCACATAGGTTTCGATACTAGTAGGGAAGACGCATTTTAGAACATATACACTGATAAAAATATGCAAATATTAGAGAAAAAATATGCTCTTTTAAAGTAGAAAATTACTTGAATGCTCCTCATAATATTCTTTATAATGTTATTGAAAACACTCAAGTGCACGTGTTACCACACAGTTTAATATGCAGAAAGAAGCATAATTGTTAACATTTTTCTTTTTAAACCAAGTAAAATTTCGTTTTAGTGTACTTCTTGATTTCGATATTGTTGAAAGATAATACAGTAATGTATGTTTTAAAAATCCGTCAAATTAATTTACACGAATGTGTACATTAGAAGTGCTTCTTATCTAAAAATAGGATGGAACATATTTGGTGATATTATGTCACACGCCTCTATAGTTTGCGAAATTCTGTTGTAGAACATACAATGTAACTATCATCAATTACTTGAATTGAAGCAGAAAAATAATTTCAGATCTTAAATTTTGTCAAAAAATGTGATTTGTGTTTTGATTAGGTCAGCTTATTTATTGACGGTATGGAAGCTAACTTGTTAGCTTGTTACGGTACGAAAGACGGACACCTCAGTTGCCAGACACCGAACTTCGACAAATTCCAATGCCAGGTGACTTAAATTGAATTAACTGAATGAACGAAGAGAAACTGATTTCGCTTTCTAATAATCGAGATTTAACTTTAAAATATTCGGAAGAATCAGTTAATTCATTTTGGATTAAAATTAGATGCGATTATCTCATGATGGCCAAAAAGGCTTTAAAAATATTATTACAGTTTTCTACAATTTATTTGTGTGAATTCGGATTGTCAGTATTAACCAACACGAAAACGAAGAAAAGATCGAGACTGTTAAATGTAGAAGACGATAGAGAGTAGCATTGTCATTTTTACGACCAAGTATAAATGAAATTATCAAAAAACATAAAGCTCAGATTTTACATTAAAAGTATTCTTATTGTTAACTTGTAATTAATCCTTTAATAAACGTACTGCTGTTTTTGTAGTACATATTTTACATTTAAAATTATTATCAAACCATTTTACACAGTGTGTTATAGGTAAGTAAACAACTTTTTAACTTGTCATTTTCTTTGTGTTCCGCCAAGTTTTGAAATCTTTAAAAGTGTGCGGCGACAAAAAAACGTTGAGTATCACTGGCCTAAAGGATAGGATACCTTCGTTGAAAACCGATTAAGGAAAATTGGATCACGTATTCATATTATACATGGAGAAAAACACGTAAATTTTCATGCCAACAAATTCACCAGGATTTGAAATCGAGTTAAACTACATGCATTCAGCTCTTTTACCATTCTTTCGCTGGTGGAAATTTTATCTATTTATTCATAAAACAGTAATATTCGCAATTCTTCTGTACTAGCTCCATTATTATAGTCCGTAAAAGGTGTTTCTTTTACCAAACAGTATGTACTATGACGGCCTTCTAATATTGACCAAAAATGGACTCTTAATAAATGATAGTTATATAAAATTGGCAAGAAAGAAAGCTTTCAGGTTTTACATTACGCCCAAAGTGAAGTTTTTTTGTTTTTTTTTTGGAATTTTTTATAGACAGTCTTGCACACTAGAGATAAAAAAAAATTTTTTTTCCCCTCCTCTCGTACAGTGTTGCCATTGCTCGCTTTCAAATCGTTGGTTTTGTTAATTCAAAATTCGTTAAAATTTTACAAAATATGAAATAAAAAATAAAACAAATTCCAAATTCGCACTTCCAGGTGTTCATATTCGGATGGAGGACTGCGTCATTCAAAATCTGATGGATCTAGGTACGGCTGTTTTTTTCACAATTCGAAAAACATACATACGTTCATGCAGATTCTTCGTTATTTAACTTCTTTAAATAGAATGCAGGGCTCTAATATTTACTTGTTAGCAGCAATTCGAAAAGTGATATGCCGTTTTCTGTGAACCGATTCAAAATGCCGTTTCGAGACTAACAGCCCTTATGGGCTAAAAAAATTGTTAATATGCTCATTGAAACCGCTTAAAAATAATGCAGTCTGAACATTTTAGATTACAGTCAAACACCTCGAAAAATTTTAAAAATTTAATTTTGAAATTTTTTTACGAGATTAAAACGTTATTTAAGATGAAAAATTAATTATAAAAAATCTTGCTATTCAGATTTCAATTTTACGTTTAAAACAAGCTAAGCTTATTATTATTGGCAAAACATGCGAGCTTACCTGCCTAAAGGAAGAGGCGCGTTCATAGAGTACTTTCTAAGAGAAACTCAACTAGTTTAAAAATTAATCCTCCGCTCCCGAAATTTAAAAATAAGCTGCTCAAAATGGTGAAACCAAATGATAGGAAAAAGTTACAACTTATTATTTTATCATAAACTAATGCCACGTGAAGATCTTCTGCACTTGAGAACTTCTTAAAGAATTATTTCTTCCTTCCAGTTCTTCCTTTATAGTATCAGTTGAAGAATCGTCTGTTTCAATTTGTTGTTAATATAGCAAATTTTCAATTACCTTTAGATAAATCCTCTGCATATTGAAAACTTATTAAGTTTTCAAAGATTAAGTTTGAGTATCGGGCAGAGGTATTGAAAGACGGAAGTGCAGAGGATTACCCTTTAATTTCTTATTTGCCTTCAAAGAAAATGGAATTATTTTTACAAGCATGGTTATATTTTAAGTTATTTAACAGATATGTTGATGAATCTTTATTTTTGGTACTTGAAGTTTCACCATAATGAAGAAAAATTTGCATCAAGCTATAAGGTATTTCTCCTGCTTTCCTAGCATGCCTTCGTGGTGTAGTGGTCAGCACACTGAGCCGGTATTTCAGAGGACCGTGGTTCGATTCCAGGCGAAGGCGATTGCTAATTTTTCATCTCTCCGGCTTCCGATTAACCTAATGTCTCTACAAAGCTAATAAAGATCGATCGGGACATTCTTCTGAGCATTACATTGGAATCATTATTTCATTGAGGTGATACTTTTCATATGCATATTTTTATACGGTTCTTTCGGAGCTTATCTAGTTCGCAAAAACTGATTTGTATGTGCTATATTGAACGAGGTAAATCAAGAAAATATTAGCTTGAAGAAGCCAAAAAAAGAATATTCCATAAAATATCCCCGCCCCCCAATTTTTTTTAATTGTGTACAAGTTACATAATGTGTGGAATTAGAAACTTCATTTATTAATTACATGAAAGCTGTAAATGTTCATAAAAATTATCTGTTATGTACTATAAATTAAATATACTTTAGTTTATATCAGTTCCGAGAATTAACTGTATGCATACGAGAGAACATAGAAGAAAAATTAAAAGGTTTTATGTTTTGCGCAATGGCATTCTTTGCCAAGAGCCTTTCTCTAAAATGCTTTCCATTCTACATGTCCTCTAGTTTGCAAAATATAGTTGTTACTGAGGATTTTTTTATTATTATTATTAATTAAGTGAAAAGAATATACGTTCTTAGAGTAGTACTTTTTTAACTACAGTAATGCTGCAAATGTTCATAAAAATTATTAGATGGATATACTATAAATTAAATAAGCTTTAATATACGTTATTTAGATATATTACTAAAAATAAAAATGAGGTATAAAGAAACACGTTTATTGCTTTTAAAATGCTTAGTTTGTTACGCAGTTACAGATTAATTAAACTTGAAAGACAGATCTTATATTCTGTCGAATGGCAACACTGAACAATGGACCGTGACGAAGAGAAATTGAAAGCCTTATGTTTAAAGAATAGCAGTACTTGTCATGATACAAGCACAACAGAGTAATAACGTAACATACTGGGCCAAGCGTTTTAGAAATCAAACGCCAAGACTCGGCAATCTAATAAAAACATTTCGCTTTATGCAATGTTTACATATAAAGATAGAGATAAAGTATTGGGATGGCAAGAAAGTAATTTTGGTTTGTACAAATAGATAGCATTTACGTTTTTGTTTTTCTTCTGTCAATCCTTTAATATTTTTTTCTTTTGAGATTTGACAGCCGACACATTTAGGTTGCTATAGAAAATAAATTCTCTCTACTTTTTTTACAATTGTTAGTTTACGGTCAATTTTAAAATGCAACGCAATAAATATTTTCGACCTTTTTTTTTTTTTTTTTTTTTTTTTTTTTTTTTTTTTTTTAAGGTACGAAAGCAGCTGAGGCTCACAAAGAGATATGAGAAATTTATGGTGCCGATTGCTTAGCTGAACGCATGTGTCGGAACTGGTATAAAAAATTTCCTTCTGGGGATTCTTCACTTGAAGGTGAGCAACGATCCGGCTGATCTTCCGAAATTCATGACGATAAAATTAAAGCTATAATTGAATCGTTATATATCATGCGAAAGATTACGAAAAGGTTAATTGTATCACATACAACAATTGAAAAACTCATAAGACGTCTTGGACTTAAGAAGCTCGATATTTGAGATCCGTATGAATTCGCAGAATTGAAAATTCGTATGAACTGAAAATCCGTATGATCCGTAAGAAATTCGCGTAACACAACGAATCACTATTTATGAAACGTATTTCAAACGTTTAGAACTCTTTTTTGAAAAGAATTGTCACTGGTACTGAAAAATGTATCGTCTACAATAACATTTATCGAAAAATCGTGGTCCAAGTATGATGAATTACTATATCGAATGCTAAACTGCATGCTTTCAATTTTGGGGAATTACAAATGTGTTTTGTATTTTGAGCTCTTTCAAACAACCAACGATCAACTGAGATGTTTACTGCCAAGAGCTTATGAAACTGGAGGAAGCAGTCGAAGAGAATAGGCCAAATCGAATAGGAATAATATTCCACTATGATAATATAGTCTCGCATATCTTTAGCCTATTATTGGAGCTTAGTTAGAAAGTGACGTCGCATCTCTCATATAGCCTCGACCTTGCGTCATCGTAAATTTTCGAAGTTTACCGAATTTCTTAAATGGTTAAGCTTTCAATTATAACGATGACCTTAAATAGTACTTGGTTGATTTTTTTGCTGATAAAGACTAGAAGTTCTACGAGCGCGAAATCATGAAGTTACCAGAAAGATGGCAAAAGGTCATCGAGCAGAAAGGAAGATATTTGGCTGAAGTTAATTTTTTGTATAAGAAAAACTAAGTTTTATCTCACACTAAAAAAAAAAAAGAAACTTTCATGTTAACCCAATACACTGATGAGCTTTAAGAAAGGCTGGGAAAAGACCGCATATGTCGAAAATATGAAAATCAGAAGTTCCTTCTGATTTGTGCATTGAACGCTTTTTTTTTTATTTGGTTTATTTTCCTTCTAATAAGCTCATATACCGTTCATTTTAATATAAAAACGCAAGTACGTAATGAATTAACAGTAATTAATAACTAACTTAAACAATAATATTTCTCACAAGTAAAAATACTGGCACACAATGAAAATGGCATTGAAAATCATAGTTACCCAGACAGCAAGGTCTTTCTTTTCATCAGTCCAACCCAAAGCTTCAGCTACTTCAAAACGTTGCTCTAATATAAATATAAGCTGGTCACTGTATCGTCCAAACACATGGCTTTAGAAAAGAGAAAGATTTTTGAAATAACAGACAATAATTACACAGTATTATTTGCATTAAAATCAGGAAAAATAATAAAAATATATTTATTTCGCATATTTTCCATTATTTTCTGATCCATGTAGAATCATTATTATTAGAGATATTATAAGTTAAAACTTTTTGCGAACTATAATACGAATTTGTTGTAAAATAGCTAGCTATTCATATCAAATTTTACGCAGGCGAATTTCTATACGCTAGGAAAAGGAAAGAAAGAAAAAAAGGCATTAAAAAGCCTTAGTTTAAAAAAGTATTAAAAGTCTTATTACCATGCGTAGAGACACTAAAATTAGAAATTTTGAATTTAATTGAATAAACACTCTCTTGAAAAAAAAAAAAAAAATTAAAGCACCAAGAAGGATTTTTGCGATCGTGACGAAATTTGGTATGCAAAAACATCTTGATCGAACATGCAAATGATCAAAGTTTCAAAGCAAATGAACAGAAATTGCGATCATAGCGCACATTTCTAGTGCGCAATTCGCAAAGTATAAAACCAGTAACAGAAGCGGAAATTAATCTTTTTTTTTTTTTTTTTTTTTTTTTTGCTGCTACCATTGTAATTGCGTAAAGAAGCAACTAAAGATGCCATTACGACGATATCGAAGACCTTACAGACAACTAAACGACTTCGAACGTGGTCGCATTGTAGAGTTGCTTGAAGCTGGGTGGTCATATCGAGCAGGAGGCCGCCACATCCAGCGTACAGACATTGCTGTGCAAAGATGTTGGCAGCAATGGTTGTTACAAGGAAATTGCCGATGAAATGAAGGCTCTGGAAGGCCAAGGAGCACAAACGCGAGGCAAGATAGAATGATTGCTCGCCAGGCCCGAACCGCCACAACGGTATCATTGTCGACTATTCAACGCACTACAGCCACGTCTATACCTCCCGTGGTACCGTTCATCATCTCACGGCGCTTGTCTGAGGCGGGGTTACGCTCACAGAGGCCTTTAGGACGTTTGCCTTTGACCCCACAACATCGGCGGATTGTCTGGAGTGGTGTCGCCGATCATCATGCTGCCATCACACTGGCATAGTATAGTGTTCAGCGATGAATGCCGCTTAACTCTTGCAGCAGATGACCACCGTGTTTGTGTCTGGAGAGGACGGGGCCAGCGGTCCCAATCAGCCTTTCCTTTACGAAGGCATACAGGCCTAGTGTGATGGTGTGGGGGTCTATTTCTTATGAGAACAGGTCATCTTTGTCATCCGGTTGCATTACCCTTCATGGCACGTCATCCTGGGACCATTTTTCAACAAGATAATGCTTGCCAGAAGATAACCACACACCGCTCGCATATCTCTGGACTGTCTACGTGCGGTTGATACTCTTCCTTGGCCAGCAGGGTCACCAGACCTTTCACCAATCGGGCACGTCTGGGACATGGTAGACCGCCGGATTCAAGTCCCACAAAATATCGCAGATCTGGAGCGACATATGATGAATGCCTGGCAGTATGTGTCGCAGGATGACATTAGGAACCTCTACCACTCCTATCCTCGACGAATTCAAGCATGCATTGCCATCAGGAGCGGTTCCACCAACTACTAATTTGAAGACTCAATGGGTGATTGGGAGCCGTGAACAGGTACTATTACCTTGATTTTTGATTTATTTATGAGCTATACGCACATTCAATTTCATCAAAAACAACTACTTCCCTCATGGTGCTTCGATTTTTTTTTTTTTTTTTTGCAAAAGAGTGTAAATACCAATGTAAGCTTAAATCTATGCTTCTCATACTATTTTTCATCGGATAAAAATGGTTTACATGCGGTTTTGATAATATCTTTACAGCTCATTTCGCATATTACGAAGCAGCCCCCAAGACCAAGTTTCATTTCAAATATCATTTAGCCGGATGATGAATAACTTACCATGTTTTCCGGTGTATAAGACTCCACCCCTTTTTTTTTTAATGGATGAGTCTTATATAATAATAGCGCCAACGGAAAAGCCATCGACGGCATTGAGACGAACGAAGCCAAAGGTGAAAAATTGTCGACACATACAGGACATGCATGTTAACCTTTAGAATGCCGAAGCCTACGTTCACGTGTTTCTTTAAAAAATCGAAACATCTGAAATTCCATTTGAGATTCACAACCATTTCTTCCCCATCGCGTTCGAACAAAGTAGTCCGAAAGTTTCAAATGATATCGTTTCTAAGCTTCCTTCCCTGAGTCCATGCTAAGTCACTTTTAACTTAAGGTAAGGAACTGCAAAAGAATCCTTTTATTACAAGACTGTCTAGAATAAAGATGAACTGATACAATGCATTTGGGGGAAATTTCAGCTTAGGCTATGGTGTGTGTGATTATGTCAAAGCCTCGAGGGCTATCTACCTAAGGGAAGGGATGCCTTCGTAGAGGACTTTCTAATGAAAACTGGCTCGTTTACACGTTACACATGGGAAAACCACGAAAACGCCCATGCAGCCAGCCCGGCTTAGGCTATGGTGTACTTTAGGAGGTACACAAATAAGGACCAGTTAATGGATGGGAGTTCTGACAGCAATGACGAGTTGTATTCTGAATAAACGTGGATTTCAATAACTTTATGTAATATTTTTCTCCTATTAAATTGTAATTCAACAGATTAATTAAAAAACCAGTCCATAAACCGAATAATAATAATTATTTTTTTTCTAATTTTCGAGTCTCAAAATCAAATAATCTTACACATGGGAACGTCTTGTACAAGGGAAAATACGATAATTCTTGCAATAGCTCTTCTTAGAGGATTCGTATAAATTATTACTATCATTACTGTTTTGCATAGTTTTACTGAAAGTTATGATTTTGAAACTTCAGTTGGCTACTTTCTTAAACTAAAACTATGGGTCCATCCTGAAATCGCTAGCGCGTCTCCAGATAACCCAAAGGGGGTTTCAGGAAGAAAATACCAGATGTTAGGAAAGAGACAACATAGGTATCCATTATCTACTACCAAAATCTTAATAAAATTCCTTCTAACAATACTTGGTAAGATTTTTATGTGTTTACGGACTTATTAAATACATCATAAGGTATAATTTTTTTTTTTTTTTTTTTTTTTTTCTCCCCAGCTTGCACAACGACACCACTCTGATGACTATTTAACCCCATTGTTTCAGATGTCTGATGTAGGTAATTGCTTCATCTTGTTGAAACCAAAGGTCGGTTCAGTTCATTGTACCTTCTTGTGAAGCTCTGTAACATTGCAGTGCATTATTCGATACTACGATCAGATCACGTATTTCAAAGAACTACGTGCCGACAGTGCTAAAGTTTGAGAGTCAACACTATAGTGTAACTCGTTGTTACTGTAGCAGATGCTCATGAAGATAGCGAAGTTTCGCTAATAGACTTCATTAGTAAGTAGATCGAGGAGAAAAACGTTTGCAAGATTTCCTTTTCAAAATTTAATTTAGGCAAAATTTATTATTTTTTTCAGTAATGACGTAAATTAAACCGAAAGATCAGATCATGAATAAAAACGAACCCTTTGTGTTTATTTATTTATTTATTTATTATTATTATTATTATTTTGAATGCCATTAGTTTTTCTGCTCCAATCTTATCATTAAAATGCCCAACCAAAAATATCTAGGAAGTCGCAAGAATTCCAGACTTTGAAGGTGAGCATCCATAGAGTGCAGGTATATGTATCGGCGACCGAAAATCCTTCCACGTATCTTTAGGATGAGAGTTTGAAAAATATACCGGGTGACCCATCAAAATTCAATAATTCACTGAATAATGCAGGTAGGTAGGTAGGTAAAGATTTACTCACATGCTTGAAATGACATGAGGTTTTATTAAAACAAAAAGTGCTTAAAACGGCCAACAGATGGCACTCCATATGATAACAAAAGCAACAATTTGCATAACAACTGATTTTTAGCAAAGACTATGTTCTTTATAACAAATGTTCAACATGTCGGCCGTCATTCATCAACAATACCTGTAGTCGAGGGACAATGTTATGAACAGCACTGTACAGCATATCTATTGGGGAGAAATGAAAAAAAAAAAAAAAAAAAAAAAAAAAAAAAAAAAAAGGCCAACATATGGCGCTTCGTGTATGAAATGAGCTGTCGTGAAAGAGGGAATCAATTGCTTCATAACTTTTCCTTTTCAAACCTGACCCTCCGGATGTATCCTCGCCTCCGGATGTTTGTCACGGCCTGATGAGGATTTATCACATCAATCGCATGTCAGACACTTTTTCTTCGAGGAAATGCGTAGTTCTGCTGTCAGTGTGACGCGTGCGAATTGTTACAGAATTGCATCATCCTTAGTTTGGCTGATAAATACCTGTTGGGAGATAAGACTTTTATGCAGGATGGAGCTCCACCCCAGATTACTATATGTGTGAAAGATCTCTCGCACACATCGTTTGGTGAGGATCGCGTGCTGAGCCGCCGCTTCCGTTATACTTGGTCTCTCAGATCCCAGATTTCAAACCGCGTGATTTTTGGTTGTGGGATTTCTTGAAATCGCAATTCTACCACGATCATCCAATGATGTTATGCCAAAAGACAACATCACAAAGGCAATTTCTCACCATACCTACAGATATGTTGACAACTGCTGTTCACAATATTGTCTGTCGACTACAGGTATTGTTGATGAATGACGGCCGACATGTTTAACATTTCTTATAAAGAACATAGTCTTTGCTAAAAATCAATTGTTATGCTATCTATTGTTTTTCTTATAATATGAAGAGTCATCTGTTGGCCGTTTAAAGCATTTCTTTTTGTGTTCAATAAAATCCCATGACATTTCAAGCATGTATATCAGTTTTAACTCTCTACTTATATGGTTATCACAATATCTAATGGTTTGAAATTTTGCAAGACGATTACGATCAATTCAGATTTCGGACTCTAATTTAAAACAATTATTTCTATAACGATTTACCCAATTTTTGCAAATTAAAATGTGCCTTGTAAATACAATATGTAACAGACAAATATTAGCATCATCTGATACTAATCGTATAAGATAAAGTATTCTTAAAAATTTATAAATTTGATACTAATTGTGAGACATGATAAATTTTCGGGCAAGAAAATATTTTTATACATCATCACCAAAAATTGATAACAAACCATTTAAAATGAATGTTATTGTAAATTTTGAACAGGAAAGTACTTCAAAATATTAAAATATTTTTTTTAAATGGAACGTAACCTCGTCCAGAGGTTTTTAAAAAGAAAATAAACAGCGAAACATTGAGAATATTTCACTCTAATTTAGAGTAAGAAATAACTTTAGGAAGCCATGTTAATTACATAAACCTTTTCTTAAAGGAGAAGGAAGTCTAAGTTAAGTAAAGAAGGAGTCTTTGCCAAGCATAATTCTGAAATAACGAAATTTCACTCAGGATTTAAAAGATTAAATTTTTCTGTAATCCTTTGCTGAATGATTTCAGGTACTTTGAAAGAAAAAATTGATTCATACAAGAATTTGAATCAAAAAAGGTCTACATAATAATATGAGTCTAATTATTAAGCAACTTTCTACAATCTTTATTTTATTTAAACTACAATCAAAAAGCGGAAATTATTCTTAGAGCTCGCAGAAGCAATGTAAAGTTCTAGAGTCGTAAAGGCATTACACCGGCAAACTCCAACGTTTGCTTCAACGCTCGAAAGAGGCCGGTTTCTCATTATCTGTCATTTACTGATAACAAATGGGAGGATAATGAAAAACTCAAAATTACTTGATTTCAAGCACGATTTCTGAAATGTGGGAATTTTTCTCATGGAGTATGCGTTCTCTCGTGACAGCTAAGGATCATCTGTAGCAGACAGCTGTGCAGAAAAGGATGTTTGCATTTTTTTATAGAATGTACTGAATAGGGCCAATTACAAATATGTGTACACATATATATATATATATAAACGCATATGTTTGTTTAGGGGGGCTTTCGGTTTGTCAAAAGAAAATAACAATTTGATAACAAAAATTCATGTAGTTCAAGTCGGGAAAAAGAAATGCAATAAACGAACAAATTTTTTTACCAAAAATATGTAGTACCCCTCGTATTACACAATTCACAATAATTCCTAGATTAACATGAGGTTGTGTTCACTAATATCTTCGCGATTTTGTCACATACTTTCGCTTTTCATCTCCAGATGCCATCTTTTTAGAACGAATGAATTTACATATTTTAAAATTATGAATCTAAATATACTTAAATAAAACGAATTTAAATTTAACTTAATTAAACGTTCAATTCGGAATTTACAAACATTCAGTTTGCTATAATGCTTAAATGCAATGAAGATATCTTAGGAATCAATCATTACATTCATAGTCGCGTTCACATTTTCTTGAATATGAAAACAGAATGTGAAACCACATTCACATTTTTTTATTTTTTGGGGGGTGGGGCACATTCTTGATTGCTTCCAAAAGAGGTGTAAGAGATTTGGGGAATTCCCTTTTCTGAAAGGTACTCTGGAAAAATCCTATCTGGAAGTCCAAATATTTTACACAAATTCATTATTCCCGTTATCTCAAAAGCTAAAGCATTATTATTAGTTGGCTAAATTTTACAGTGCAGTACCTTGACCCATTTTGAGTTTTAGTAGATTGCCTTGCTATACATCGGTTCTGTAACCGAGCTTTCAGAATACCCAAACTTTTTATTAGTACACACATTTTCATTGTCGATGTTTTTGCCTATTTTCTCCCGGTTATCCAACACCCATATATTTTATGTTTATGCATCCCATGTCTTAGGTTGACATATCCTATTCAATGGTTTTGTTAAACTCAAGGAAAGCACTCACTGAAGTTTATGTTTAACTTGCAGCACGTATGCTCTTTTGGTGAGGCACCAGGTTTCATACTATGCTAAAACTCTCATCATCACCAAATTCAAATTCAACAGGCCCCTCACTCCTCAGGTACACCTCACGGAGTTAACCCAAGAAGCCCTTCGGAGCAGTAAGTCAAACATCTGTCCTCTGGTGTACAACAAGGTAAGCAAATCACTTTTTTCTTCTTTGGATTTACTGAAATGGTATGTAACTGATGAAAATGATAAACCGAATATTCAAATTGAGAAACTGGATAATAGGAACTCTGAAATACAGCGGTTTCAAGTGGGTTTTAACCACTTGCGCTACGACTAAACTTCACGGTTGCGGTGTCGTGCGCTACAATATAACAAGCGGTAAATTGTCTTATTTACGCCGTTCCGCGGCTGCGAGTGCAGTCCAGAGCTGAAACTCGAGAAATAAACAATCTCGTTGTTAAGCGATGTGTGCACCACGTTATTTTCATTTTTGCGATTAATGCTTATCGACGTGGTATTCACGTCGCTCGCGGTTTGAGACAAAAGCATTTCGACGTACGTGGCACGTCTTTTTAGCGCAAGTGGGTTAATACAGTCAGAACTTTGGGAAATCGCGAGTGGCCAGTTAGTCAAGCAGAAACTTACCAAGCCGACGTTAACAAGTGGGCTTCAAACGATCAAAAAGTTTTAGCAAATATTGCTCTGAGCGAGAAATCATCTGAGGTAGTGCATATTAAAAAATGTGAAACGTCATACGAGGCATTAATTGAACCGCACAAATTCATCATCCTAAAGACCCTAATAAGGCCCTTACTAAGGTCCTTACTAAAGTTAGCCTCACGAAGCAACTTATCTCGAAAACGATGAACGAGAACGAAAAATGGCAAGATTACCTAACTTCTTCGAAACTGTAAAGAAGCTAACATAAATATGATCTAAAGTTCCAGAAGATTTCTTAACTATTTCTTGCTATTATGTAGTTTAATCGAAGAATTTGAAAGTTTTAGAACCACGATAGAATCTTGTGATAAATTGCTTGACTTAAACATGCTAAAGTTAAGTTACTAGAAGAATCTAAAAGTCACTAATTTAAAGTGCAAGAAAACAGCCAAGTGTAGGATGCTTTAGTTGCTAAATATTACGACAACGTGAAAAAGAAGTCTAAGAATTCGAATACCTTTAGGGGATATAACTGTAACAAAAAAAGGTCACAAAGCATCAGAATATAGGCACAATAAAAGCAAAATTCCCAATCAAAAATCTTCTAAAAATGTTTTTCTTTCACCACTGTAAATACAACACCAGAATTAGGAGCATACAGTTGGTAGCTTGGTTCAGGAGCAACAGCACACATGTGCAATAACAGAAGTAAATTCACATCGATAACGGAAATAAAAAGTGGAGTTCAGTTAGTAAATAATGCATTTCTAGAAGTCAAAGAGGAAGTTGAAATTTATGCGAGTATCTCTTCAACTTCACAACACACCACACATAATGATGTATTATGCCAACCTAAAAAATTTATTTAATTTCAGTTAACTTAGTCACGCAACGAAAACTTATTGTCTACTTTAGAAATAATCATGCGTGTATTACAGATAAAAATAAACGCACAGTCTTAGAAGCAAAGAGGCAAAATGGCCTATATGTTTTTGGAAATCAACAGGACGTAACCGATACTTCAAATGTTCAAAAGATTTCAAAATGTAATGATGAAATTATTTCGTGAAACTCGAATATCAGTATAATCTGAAGAGGGTGGCTAACACCAACTAGAGAGTTAATTCAAAACACGCAACATAAACACGGAACTAACTCCGCTACTACTCGCGAACTCTTGAAACCGCAGCTTAAATTCAGCTCTGAACGCACTTAGATTTTGCATACTGCGTCACTACAATTTACATTATAGCAGGAAACAGAAATCGGAAGGGAAAGGAAAAGTTAAACTAAAAATAATTGGCTAAAATAAAATGAAGTCTTTACAAGTTATACGATAAAAAGGAAATTGACATCAGAAATGCCCTTCAATATTTTAACGAAGAATATTGGCAGGGAGAAACATAGAAAATGTATGAATCTATTAGGACTTGAACATTAATTCATGTTTTTTTTTTTTTTTTTTTTTATTATTCCCCTTTTAGCTCTGCTAGGGAGATGCTGAAAAATTTGAATATCTCTCTTGCTGAAGATGCTTAAAGTTCAACGCTCGTAGTCCGTCGGTAGAAACCACGAAGTCTTTTTCTGTGGGTGTGAGAAGACTCTTTTATTCTCGCGATGTCCTGGTTCTCGACGTGACCAGTAATCATAATTCTCTTCAGCATGGTATAGCGATCTGATGTATAGAATCCTGACGTGGAAAGGATTTATCGAAGATTAGAATGGAAATAGGAATCTTGCTGAATGTGCCAGACAGCATTTGTGTGAAATATCGTATGGAATCGTTACAGCCAAGTACCTGACAACATAGCAGTTACGTTCATCTCCCATTATGCAACTCCATTCTACTTTGTTATGTTTAATCCTCACATGCCATGGGTTCGTATGCCATAGATGCCTGTTCATCGGCTTTATTAAGCTTAAGAAAAGCACCCATTAAGGTTTATGATTAACTTACAGCATGTATGCTGTTTTGGTAGAACCAGGTTTCATACTACGCCAAAACTCTCATCATCACCAAATTAAAATTCAACACACCCCGTATGTCTCCCCAGAAAAAAAGCACTGTATATTTATTTATGTGTAAACACATATATTACAAAACCGTTATCTGTAATGAAATATTTAATGAAATAAAATAAATTTAAAGTGAAGTTTTCTTTCTTAAATGCACGAGTTGTTCCGATTCTCTATTTATTCTCGATTTTCTCAGTCCCAATGTACGCCTGAGAAATATTATATTCAATAATAAATTACTTTTGCTGAAGTTATTACCACCTAATTTTTCAATGAGTAGCCATTTCAATAATATTAGTATAAAGGATATTCTGAACTACATATTTGCAAAAGAGATCCATTTGACTAAATTATAACATTTTTGATGATATACTGAATTGTACAAAAACAAAAACCTACACTGTACATTGCCATAGAGTCAATAAATCAGAAGCCTTTTGCCTCAAATCAGATTCAAAGTATACTTTAGCAGCCAACAACCGTATTCGATAAAAATGGCATGCTCCTAATGAAATTTCTTGCTCCTTTAATGTTGTTAGAATACAGCACTTTTCATACTCATTCAGTTCTTTTCCTAAAAGTAAAAGAAATAAACATAAATAAATTAAACAAAAAATATGTTTTTTGAAAACCTAACATACTTTTTTCTTTAATGAAATTATCATCTGATATAAGATTTATTATTTGAAATAAAACTAGGAGTCTTTAACTATCTATAGAAGAACTGTAGATAAAAATAAAGAGATTTATTTCATTACTACAAAACCCACTAGGGCGAACTGCTTATGGAAAGAAATGCCTTCATAGGGAGCCTGCTAAGATAAACTGACCCCTGTTGATGTGAACCTTTAAGGAAACTTGGAAACTCATGTAGCTAGTCCGCCCAGTAGTGTAAAATAGAATCCGGAGAGAATTACGAGAGTTTAGCGACATTATTTATTCGACCACTTTTGGTTTACCCTTTTTGGACCACTAATAAATACCTTTCAGACGCTGTTCGTATTTAAACATGACTTTTAAATCTTTTTTCAAGAAATCAATATATATTTGCAGCAATAGTCCTTGTTTGAAAGTAGGCTCTTTCTAAAGAGATACATTTATTTCACGGACGGAAAGTGGATGCAGGATTTAAGGGTTTGGATTAATTCTTTGAAAGCGCTAAGTAGTTTAACCTCAACTCATGAAGTCCTTTTGCTAAGAAAAAGAGAGTAAAAGACACTGACCGTAGCCGTGCTTTCCAGTTACAAACAGACGGCAAATTTTGAGCATCTGATCCCAGAAGGCTAAATGAAACAGAAGATGGAGTTTCTAATTTGAAAATGGGTAAAAAAAATGAAATCGAAACTTTATTTTCAAGAAAGTACGGGTTTAAGTTGCTTGTTCATATTATGGCAAGTACGTGATTAGCATATTCTTATATTCTGTTAAAACTATTCAAGAAGATCGCCGAATGATTTGGGATATCTAAGGCATTCATCGTACCAAAGTTTTATATACTATTTTCGTCATACATTTATACTGTCAATTAAATGAGAAATGCAGCCAATATTTTGTAAAAAGTCTTTGTTTTCAAGAAACCCATTTCAACCAAAATTCTCTGCGATAATGCCCGGTCCTAAGTGCGGCCTTACATCTGCCTAGAAATGTTTAGTAGATTTTAAAACACCCTTCTTATACTTTTAATTTCTAACCCAGAAATTCCAGTCCTTTTCACAAAATTAAAGGAGATATTAGGTGGAAAGAATTTTGTTAATAACGAAGTTTTCCTAAAAAGTAATCGCATTTCTAAATGGAATAACTCAACAATAGCTGACTTTTTTTTTCTGGAACTGTATGATAAGGATATGCAAAAAACCACTCTTCCAATATAATAACCGTTTTTTCGTCATGAGTGCCTAACTGCTCGAAGTACGTAATTTTAAAGCCAACTTCACTTCTTTCATTCATTATTTGCCACGTTCCATATAGATGCGATTGAATGATTCCTGTGAATTCAAGGTTTGGATACTTACATAATGAAACATTCCTATTTCTACCCCTACGCAAGAGAAACATTTTGCATTTTCCCATCCAGATCGAAACTATTTCTTGAAAGGGATAACTGAATGCTCCACATGCTCTTAACACTGGCATGAGTGATAAGTAGTGTAATGATAAATTAGTGATAAAGAAAGATGGCAAATGGTAAGTTAATTACTCAACCTTTATCAACTATCTTGTAAAGCAGAATTCTTAATTTCTTTTGTAGAAACAAATGTAGAATTTTTAAGGTTAATTCAAATTAATTTAATTAATTAATTTTTAAGGTTAGTTCAAGATCGAATCGTAATCTGTTTTGTTCAATGGAATATATAAAAAGCTTTCAAGGAATATTTGCCTGAGGGATATCTTCATGAGAGATTTGTTAAAAGAATAAGCTTGAACACTCTACACACACACACACACACACACACGCGCGCGCACAAAAAAAAAAAAAAAAAAAAAAAAAAAAAAAAAAAAAAAGAGAGAGAGTCTTTTTATATCTACCCTTTTACTGGGCAAATTGACGAAAGTTGCGTTTTTCATGTCTCAAAACGCGACTTAGGGTCTAGTAGATTTATATAGCATTTTTTTAACATAGGTATTTTGATGAAAAATCAGACGTTTTCTGAAATGAGATACCTATGTTTTACCATATTTCGATTCTACGACTCTAATTATGCTTAAATATTATTAAATTATGTAAAATTTGGTTAAAATTTTATGAGAAATATAAAAATTTAGTTTGGCATCCTTTTTTAAGTTTACGCTAAGAATAATTCACTTGGAGAAATTCTTAATTTATAGCAATCTATTTTCCTTTCAATTTTTTTTATTGCGAGCGAGCAGAAAAAAGGGGGCATCGTTCAATGTTTGAAATAATTTTAACAAAGGGCGTGACCCGCATTTAGCGATATCGCTTATAATAACTTTTCCAAATTTCAAAACGCGCAAATATATGAATTCAGACGCATATCTTGGGAAATTTTGAATAAAGAATTCTTCATTTTTTAGCAGATACGTCTAGAAACACATCTACTTCAAGTTTTGATTCAAAATTTTTCCGAAAATTTTATAAAAATTTCTAAAAAATACAAATTTTAAAAACAAATCAGAAAATAGCCGCGAATTTTATTTGAATGAAACCTAAATTTCGAATTGTGAAAGAAGAAATTAAATAAGTTTCATAAAAAATATCAAATTAAATTAACAAAAAACTTAGCAGTTTTGGTATAATTTGCGTCGTAGAATCGAAAATATGGGAAAAAAAAACTCGGTAGTTCATTTCAGAAAAAGGTCCGCTTTTGTGTCGGAATACCTATGTTAGAACAATGCTATATATAAATCTAATATATACCCTATGCAGAACTTTCGAGACATGAAAAACGCAAGTTAAATTTCGTTAATTAGACCAGTAGAAGAGGAGATACAGAACTATCCTCTCTTTTTTGTTGTTGTTGTGCAAGGTGTACTTGCATTACATATGGATAAGAGCACAAAAAAGTCAGTTTTTTGCCATTCAGCAATAGTTGGCAATCAAGTCAAAAACTAAAAAAAAATATTTAAAGCGTAGAGTTTAACATAAATTTTAAAGGGATGCTTTTATTTAATTAGTTTAAAAAACTTATTTTATTACATTAAGCGAACTTTAATAGTAATTTGCAAAAGCTGTTAAGAAATTTGTTTCACACAGAAAATATGTACTATCAACTTGATCAGGCGAAACACGTGTCATGCACTTGCATGAGATCCGACTCATCATATCCCATTGATCTGTGAAAGGATCATAAGATCAGAATGATGATCATACTGTTAATGTAAAAAAATCCATTATTATTATTTTTTTAGTTATATCGCAGAGTTTTTAACGCCAGGAAAAAACTGCTTTAAATTTATCTGTTTTTTATCAATTTGATTTAAGCGAAAAAGAAAGCAAGTAGAAAAGGATGTATAAAAAAGTATTTCTTATGCTCAGGTATGAAACGTATATTCAGGGTGGTTAAGAAAAAAAGTAGCTACAGACTTTAGAAATATATTTAGTGACGTCTTTCCAAAACTTTTAGACCATTAGATTCGTTACATGACATTACGTTACTTAGAATGCACATACTGTCTACTCATCTTGGCACTGTACGAAACCATAAGGCTATGACTAAACTCCTATGACTTTACTCGAGGTCACGTCATTGGAAAGCTGAAAAACGTCGAAGTGTGTGACGAAGGATTTTGGGATCGCTCACAGCATCATTTTACGCGTCTAGATAGCATTTCTGACAACGAAAACAGCTGTTCGAGAGTTGAGCAGTGGTCGCCAAAGAGCAGCAACGGCAGTAGATGACCAGTATATTGCCCTACTGGCGAGAAGAGATAGAAGACAGATAGTAGGAAATATCACAAAGCACATGCAATAGACTGCTGAAGTCAGATAGCATGCTTTAACTTGACCAGGAGGCTTCACAAATATGGTTTATATGCATGATAATTAATAAGGTGCGTTAACGCCTGCTCATCGGAGACACGGGTTTCTATGGTATCGGTAACCCAAGAACTGCACACAACATGAATGGAGGCTAGCACTCGTTAGGATGAGAGTCTATTTGGTCGGAATAGTGATTCTGGCCATAACACACTTCTGCAGAGAGAAGGAAACACGCGATCATCTCTCCAACATTATCGAGAGTTACCGTTTTGAAGATGCCGGTGTTCTCGTTTGGAGTGGTATCGTGCTTGATAGCCGTTCTGACCTTCCAAAGGCGGTTCAGTAACTGGTGTTCGCTATTGTGCCGATGTTTCTTTGACTCATCTACATCTGTTTAGTGTTGTGGGTCTAGATTTTCTCTTCATGGATGAAAACACCGTACCTCATCCTACAGTAGCTGTCACTAAGCGCTTGGAGAATGAAGATATTCGGCACATGGATTGGTTTGCAAGGTCATCGGACCTAAATCCTACAGCAAATGCGGGGACCTTGTCGAAAGACGTTTGTCAGCACGTGGCAAGCCACCCGTAACGATTCCGTAGCTGCAGCTGGCCCTACAAGAAGAATGAGGAGCGACGCCTTAATAGCTTCTTGACTTAACAGCTTCTTGACAACCTTGTCCTCAGCATTGCAGTCAGAGGTGGTCATATCTCCTTCTAAAGATTGGATTTTTCTTTCAAGGCGCCTAGCTGGAGCGAATAGACGTTTCTATTCGCTCCAGCTGTGCTCATAGCTGCTTTTCAATGAAGTTGCTTTTTATCCTTGTTTGAATAGTTTTACTCACTCATCCCGTGTTTTCATATCTTGATGACCTTGTGGTTTAATTTGGGTCGATGTGGAACATTTCTGCACGATATTACATTTAAAAAACCAGCTTGTTCTTAAATTTTGCACACTAGTGTGCCTTTACATTACAGCTTATCAGGTTACAATTGAAATTAACATTGCATGAACCTTTTGTTTTAGTTTACACTAGAATCTTATGACAGTATAGTCAATTTGTCAGACTAGTTCGAGACAAGAACTCTTTATCTCAGTAAGAGTGGATAAGTTAAACTGATAAATTAAATAATTGCAAACAGTAAGTTACAAAAAACTATTTCGATTAAATACTGTTAATTAATCATTTGAGGGAGATATCCCTGTTATCAAAGTGCATATATGTAAGTAAAGATTCAATAAAATGACAAATATAATTACTTATGATTAATTTCAAAAAAGAAACACCATATCTTATAAAATTCCTTAAGATATTTTTTACAATAAATCATTAAGATGACTTCTTTACAGTTTTGTTACAAACTAAGTAAAATTCCTTAATTAAGATTAGAAAAGTAACAAAATACACAACAATCCAGTTGTTAAATATTTTCATGAAATAATGAAATAATTTCACCTCCGAATTCCTTCGTAGTATGTAGAGCTAAACTATATTTCTTCAAGTTTACCTAGAACAAGTTGATTAAATTTATTTAAATATTTCTATCACAAAAGCACGCTATTCACCATATCCACACAAAATACAGCAGTTTGACATATAAAAAGCGGACTCTACTTAAATACTCTCACATCATCTCTTCTAGTCTTAAAAGAATCTTCCTTTGTCACGTGATTCCCCCCATTTTCATAATCATAAACTAGACTGCCATATCCTGCTATGAAATGCACCCTTATTATCTTTATTTATTATCTATCAATCCTTATTATCTATCAAACTTTTAATCCTTATTATCTATCAATCTTTTAATCCTTATTATCTATCAATCTTTTAATTTGGTTATTTCTCCATTCTATTCTGAAAATAGTAAAATATATAAAATAAAATCGTTCTGAAGTGCGTCATTTCAAAATTCGTTCGGCATTCTAAAATTTACACTTTCAAATCCTGAAATTTAATTAATGGACTTTAATATATTTCACAAAATTAAAGAGCACATTATGCTCAGTATATTAAAAATCAGTATATTAAATATTAAAAATCAGTACATTAATCAGTACAATACAAATATCATATTTAAAAGATATAAGCAAGCATTTTTTTTTCTTTCACTTACTTCCAGATTCAAGTGCTGTATGTAGTATATCTAAAGCATTTAAAGAAGATTCAATAGCACTAGCAGCCGTAGAATCATCGATAATTCGAAACAGAAGAGAATTCTGAAAGAAAATATTTCCATGAAATGTTATAAAATAGAAAAAATGCAAATGTTTTGATCAGCTATATGTAACTGTTATCTCTTATTTTTTATAGGCAACTTTTTCGTGTGCCAAAAAATGATAGTCATAAATTTTTATTTTTTCATATAAAGTTCATTTCAAAGAAATAATTTTAATAGGCTTTAAAATCTTTTAATTTGGTTATTTCTCCATTCTATTCTGAAAATAGTAAAATATATAAAATAAAATCGTTCTGAAGTGCGTCATTTCAAAATTCGTTCCCCTCCATATGACTCGTATATAACCTGAGTGAAGGCAGAAATAAAACTGAAACTTTACTCAAACGTATTGAGTAAATACTCAGTATACACACGAAAATTTTTAATCAACCAGCATAGCAAAACGATATTCTCTCCTTCGCCTGAAAACACTATTTTTAGTCTAACATACGCAGAATAATATTGGCTCTTCATGCTTTTGTCTGACTACAGAGAATGTTCGCTCATTTTTTAGACAATTTTGCTTTGCTGTAAAAAAATAGTTTGTGAGAAATTTTTATTTTAACTGAAACTATATTTTTGAAAATTTAACTGCAGCTATATTGTTTGTAACCTGTTTATAAGATTTTAGGACTTAGCAGGGTTCAGCGATTTTACCGCTAGATCACTGGTGAATAGACACTATCCCCCCCCCAAAAAAAAATCTACAGAATACAAATCGAGTGAGAACGCACACAGTCAGATTCTTTGGAAATGATACGGTTGTCGAAAAAAACCTACCTAAGACCATAAGACCTACAAGCTTTCATTCGATAAATTACAAGTGACACCGTGTTATTGTATCTAACACTTACTTCATAGATTCCAAGAAGCGAACTAAACTGTGCAATGTTGTTCTAAATACTATTCAACAATGGAAAAAACTTAAAATTCCTTACTTTCGGGAAAACTATATATCTTCCTGGCCCAACAAACAGAGCTCAAATACGGTCGTCATATGATCGTTAGATGACAAATGCCGTCTAAACATACTATTAGTACTCTTAGAACGCCAGCCAGTGAAGATAATACAATTATTACAAATTCAAATTAATTTATACTAAAATGCTTACTTGATATACTTCTCATTTTCTTGCTTCTCTGTTATTATGCAAAATTGAGTATATTTTCCCTTATATCATCGTTTATCCCGGCAAATGGTTTAGAAAAATATTTTCAAAAAATACAGCAGCATTGCAACTTATCTCTCTTAAACGTATCAAGTTAAACTTCAGTGTTTAAAAATAAATCTAAAATACGTTTCCGTCCAACTATCCGGAGAGGTATTTTTAATATACTTCCGCTCTATCAGGGATTTAATTATTTATATTTTTATTTTAACTGATGCCTATCCATTAAAAAATAACTTTTCAAATCTGAAAGTTGACTCATTCTAAAGATTAAGAATCCTTTTCGCCAGAGCCAGATTTAGACTTGATAAGGCCGTAAGCTATTTGAGATATGGGGCCCTTTATAAGTCTGTTATAATATATGTTCCGACTCGGTTAGAATATTTATGTCTATTTGCACTGGCTTAATGCTTGCAGCGCCACGTAATGTTAGTGGCGAGAGCCCAGTACTAATCAGTAAGCGATAGGGATGCACTCGGTCCACGTCGAGTCTCCGTTCCTCTGCCCGAACAAAGCGGCAGTCAATTGTTAATTATTCCTTACTCACTCTTTGCCCGTTTAAGCGGCATTATTGTTCTTGAAAGAAAATAAATGTTGTTAAGTTTCTCAACTTGACTTTTATGAATTAATATACAGTCCACAACTACCAATTGCTATCAACAATATATTATAATATATTTTAATACTTTTTATACTATATTTTAATTTTTGGGGGCCCCCAAGAAAGTAGGGGCCCTAAGCTATAGCTTGTGTAGCTTGTACGTATATCCGGCCCTGCTTTTCGCTGTCAATGTGATGCTCAAAGTGTATGCTCTAGAGTTAACTTTTGAAAATAATGCGATACCGATTCCCTCTATTGAGAATTTAATTAATTATAACGTTCTTAATGTAATTACATAATTCTTAACGTCTACAGCCAAATCATCGCTTTTCTCAGGCGTGCGTTTGTTCATTTAGTATGCTGTCTCTTGTATTTCTTCGTCTTTGAACAACTGCGAAATAAAAATCTTTATTAATAGGTGGTAGGTAGGTCTCTTGACTGAAGTACACACTGTATGCGACTTGGGATAGATGCACAGAGGTCTTGCAAGACATTAATGGTATAATGAAGCCAGACAGAACAATCTCTAGTTCTAATTCTGCAGAACAATCTCTAACTACGGAGTGTAACTGGAGGTGGATTTCGAGCACGGAGTCAAATATCTTCATAACTGTTCAATAATGTTTACGTCAGGGAACCGAGAAGTCAGATGAGATATCCTGTTTCATGCAGCATAAACTCTTTGAACAGGGCTTGAACGGATCAGTGTAGATCGGAGTGGTATCATCTTGAAAAAAACAATACAATTCAATGTAATAAAGTGTGGATAAAAGGATGGACTGGTTTAGTTTATTTGATTATGGCAATTCCCACGAGAGCTATCTGCCTAAGAATATTGATGCCATCGTGGAGTACTTTCTAAGGGAACTGTTTCGTATCCACGTTTCACGAGCGGAAAATCACTGAAACAGCCCTGCAGCCAGTTTTTTTGCTTGAAATTGAACCTAGCTCGCTTGACGAATGTGCAGTGACTTTACGACTCGGTCTCTGATGAACCTGGCAAAAGAATGGACATGGTCTACCAAAATGTTTCGATAGGGATTGGTGCTGATCTTCCTAGCCAAGCCAAGCCGAGATATCACAAGCCATATAATTAGGGAGGCACCTCCATGCTTCGTAATCGGCAAAAAGTAGGCAGATATAAACACGATCACTATTCTGGCATGAACGTCCTCAGAGATCTGAAATAGGGTGAATGCTGAAACATCAGATCGGATGACTTGCAACTTCTGTGGAGCCTAGTTTCTATGAACTCTGCAACAGTGACAACGTTTCAAAGTATTACGTGATGTCACCAACGGTTTAGGATTGCCGCTTTGCCACAAATGTTCGAAGTATGAAATTCTCATTTGACAGTTTTGATTAAAATGGTGTCCTGGTGATGAATGTTTCATTCGGCTATCTGAGGTACTGATTTCTTATGTTTTTGGGCTACTGTGCACTTCATCATTGCCTCTCCTTATCAAATAGCTCTGTTTTTTGTCCACTGTTGTGGTTTGAATATCCCGTCCAACGTCCAGTTTCTCATGACGGCTAGTAGTGTGCTCCTTGCCCATCCAAAACGTTTTGCCAGTTCCGTCACCGAGGCTCCAGCTAAACATGCTCCAACAATCATACCCTTCTGGAAGTCTGCTACATCTGATGTTTTAGAGTCTCTCAGAGAAAATAAGCCGGTTTCAGGTAATATCATATGAAATCAAATTTCAAATAAATTAAAAGTATAATTCATAGTTAAATGAGTTTAAATATCGAAACTTTGGATGAAAAATTATGTATCAAATCAATACCGTTACCTTCAAATCTGAGCATTCTGGACATGTACAATTATCCAAAATCAAAGCTCTTGTGTTTGTCATCACATGATATCCATCCACAAATGAAAATCTTGAAATAGACAGCTTAAAAAGAAACTTAACATTATGATGCAGAAAACACAGTATAAAATATACTTTTACGCAAATGACTATGAGATGCATATTTTTAAAAAATCATGAAAGTTAATGATTGAAAATAAAGCTAATATCATTTTTCTAACATCCACATATTGTCACCGAGTTTCTGAAGTAAGAGATTGATTATGTGATATTTAACATTTATTTATTGCTTTTGTTTATTTGGATTGATGCGCACTCAAAGACTGAAAAAATGCATATGCTTTATTTTGAAAACAAGGTACACTTTATCTGCTCTATTTGTTTAACAATGTGTAATTTATATAAGTGTTTTTATTTCATTTTATCGAACAAGGAAACAAGAATAGGGAAATTGAGAAGAACCGGAATATCTCAAGGTCGTAATGAAACTGACATTACAAATCAAAGTTATTTAATTTATTATTATTTATGTGATGACAAAGACAGAGCATAAGGAAAAAATATTAAGAAGCGTTAGTTTGTAATAACTCCATAGTTTAATGCCACAGATCGGAATCGGAAAATATTGAAAATAAAGAATTAAAAAAATAATTTAGAAAATGCATTTAAAATGAGGGTAGAGATAAAAGAAATAATACTATAAGTTATGTTTCCTCTCATAAATGGGTTCAGTGTAGTAATTATTTCGCAATTTATTTACTAATGCAACATGTAATTAAAATTTTGTTCAACTATACAATGCAATTGTAATTAAATGATGCTCTATCGACAAATTCGATTAAGTAATGTACTAGTATTAGCCAGTTTTAGTTCATTATAAATAAAGAGTTTGGAAGTATTAGTCTCTCCTTTGCGTGGAATCGAACAGAGAGTTTTAATGTTCTAACCTTTGAACTACAAGAGTATAAGGAAAGTTTACGAAATATTAAATTTCAGGTGAAAATATGCATTAAATGCAGTAAATGTTTTTTGCCTCATACCGCCGTGAATTTTGCGCGCATAGAAAACTTTTGTATTTAGCTTAGTCTAACATAGTTAATATTACTAACTGGAATTTTTTATGTAAGGGTACTGCATGAAAATATAAAATTTATATTTCGGAACTTTTCTGCCTATGGTATTAAAACTGTTTTTCATGACATTCGTTATTTATTTAGAGAAACTCTGTATTTTGAAGTACATATCAAGTACGCCTATCGGGAAAAAATAAAGATGGTTTCCATGTTTTTGTTAACATTTTGGATAACAATGGAAACATTTGACAAACAAATTATAAAAGAAAATTATTTTCTTCAATTTTTTAATGCATGTGCGTGTTCTGTACTTTATGTAATAAATGGCAGATTCACAGCGCTATGAATGCACCTTTCATCTCAGTTCACAAGGAAAACTACAGAACCCGAAGCTAGTTGCTAGTCAGAGATGGCCAAGCAATTGAACAAACATATGAGCAAAAAAGGTATAAATGAGTGTAGTATTTTGAAATCGTCCGCACATTCCAGAAAAAGATATATAAAATGGCGCGTGCGCCCCCAATATTCACAGCCACAGATTCAAAAATATACTGCATCTGAAGTTTGATGCCCTTGAACGAGCTCCTGTTATGACTATAACATAAATAAACTATTCGTGCCATTTTATTTCTGTTGTTCTCTAGAATTTAACGTACATAAATAAACTATTCGCGCCATTTTATTTCTGTTGTACCACCTGTCTCGAGCCATGCCAGTTTGTCACATTTCTTTCAGTATTGCCTCGTTATTTTGGGGCAACTACTTAATGTACACTGCGTAAAAAAAAAGGGGCAACAGTTGTATATCCCCCGTTCTACAGGCCGATTGACGAAATTCAAATTGCGTTTTTCATGTCCGTTTGGAAAGTATTGCGTGAAAATGGTGCACCGCAATACTCAGCTGTGGAATGACTCAGCTGCAGACGACGGGCAGTAGCTCTTGTACTTGTCTGAGGCGATTCATGCACAATATTCAAGATGGATTCTTTCAATGCGAGGTTGTCGTGCACTTCTTCTTCCACTCCTAGTATCAGCGGTGGCTTCAAATGGTTAGGTTAGGTTAGGTTAGGTTAGGTTACTTAATTACGGCAAAGCCTCGAGGGCTATCTGCCTAAGAGAAGGGATGCCTTCGTGGAGGACTTTCTAAGGGAAACTGGCTCGTATACACGTTACACATGGGGAAAACCACGAAAACACCCATGCAGCAAGCCCGTTCGCGGGATTCGAACCTCGGACCGAACTACCAGTGTTCAGCGACTTTACCGCTCGGCCGCTGGTGGGCGCGGTGGCTTCAAATGACCCGTTTTCAAACAGAGACCTATGCAACCTCACGAACACTGTGAGCTGCGACGATTATGGCAAAGCACACTAGAGCTATCTGCCTAAGGGAGCGATGCCTTCGTGGAGGACTTTCTAAGGGTTTGATTTGGTTTGGTTTATTATATTAATGCAAAGCACTCGATGGCTATCTGCCTTAAAGGAGGGATGCCTTCGTGGAGGACTTTTTAAGACTTTCTAAGGGAAACTGGCTCGTATACACGTTACACATGGGGAAAACCACGAAAACGCCCATGCAGCCAGCCCGTTCGCGGGATTCGAATCTCAGACCGAACTACCAGTGTTCAGCGACTTTACCGCTCGGCCGCTGGTGGGCTACGCCTGTTGGGAAACCGTTCCTGGTACAATCGTAGCGCTGCTCTGCCGTTCCCATTAGCAGCACCAAACATGAGATACATGTCAGTTTTTTTCCAGTGTGTAAACTCACCCATCACGCTCGACATCAGAGTTGTGAATGATCCTCTGATGCATCGGATCGTGGTTTGTCCAACTCACTACCGCCCTCTACCGCTGCATTGCCACCCAGTCACAGCTGTAGTTCCTATTACTGTTCCCTTTTTTGAACATTTATTGTGAATAGTGTATTGCTGCAAAGAAGCACTTTGCTTTGATTTTGTACATAAACACATTTTCCTTTCGTGCCGTTTTCTGCGTTCCTGCCTTAACCAGTCACTTTAGACCCTACATTCCTATACAAAAAATGCATGTTTTAATACGCTCCACCACCCCTCCAAGTTTTCCCATTCCATAAAACACCCTGTATATGACATTGTTCTAATATAGATATTTTTGACACAAAATCGGATTTTTCCTGAAATGGCATGCCAGATTTTTTCAATATTTCGATTCTATGACTCAAATTATGCCTAAATATTGAATTTTGTAAAATTCATGTTGGCGCATTTTTTTCAATTTGCGCCAAGAATAATTACCACTTATCGAACTTCTTAATTTATAGCAACCTATTTTCCTTTCCTTTTTTTTTTTTTTTCATTGTAAACGTGAGAAAAAGTCATCGCTCATTATTTTAAATAATTTTAAAAAATAAACCACATTTGACGTTATTATTGCTTATAATAAATATGCCAAATTTCGAAACACGCTAATATGTAAATTCACGTATATCCTAGGAAATTTTGAATAAAAAAATCCTAATTTTTTTGCAGGTATACTTAGAAATACATCTACTTGATGGTAAAAATTTTACGGGTTTATAATTCAAATGCTTTTTTCGAAAAGTTCATAAAAAATGGGCGAATTTTATTTGGAATGAACCTAAATTTTGAATTCTGGAAGAAGAAATCAAGCAAGTTTAATGAAAAAAAAAAAGAGATTAGTAAATAGATAAAATTCAATTAACACTGAGAAGCTAAAATTTTGAGAGCTAATTTTTTTAAAAACTACTCATGCGATTTTTACAAAACTTGGCAGTTTGACATAATTTGAATTGTAGAATCGAAATATGAAAAAAAAAAAATGTTATTACAGGAAAAAGTCCGATTTTGTGTCAAAATACCTATATTAGAACAATTTTATATATAAATCTAATACATATCCAAAATCGCGCTTTCGAGACATGAAAAACTCAAGTTGAATTTCGTCAATCGGCCTAGTAACACGGGGGGGGGATACAGAACTGTCCCTTTTTTCCCGCAGTGTACATATTCGGACGAATTCATGCCACTTTCTGTTCCACTGAACCACCTGCCTAATTAACCATGATAATATGAATTAATTTATTCACTGTTATCGTGTATTTTGCGGGAACTGCTGCTAAAGGTTCATCGCACAAAGCGCTTATCAATCAATGCATGTTTGGAATCGTATCATTTGTTCGGTACTTGTAAATCACTTCCGTCGTTAACATTTGTACCGCAACATGAAGATTAAAAGACCATTTGGCTGACTGTAAATATACTTATTACTCCAAAACGCTATTTGTTAGCGATCGAACGCGAACGTGCTGCGTACCATACTAATGAAACAGGAACTGCTGCAGTACAGCAAGCATGCTACCTTCCAGGAATACGTTTTATCACACAACGGCATCGTAACTTAGGGGAATATTAAATTTGACAGTTTACGCCTGCAGATACCTCCAATGCTTGATCTTCTTTACATGATTTATTCTAGAGTCTAAAGAAATCGCGAAATGTCATACTTTGAACCTTTTGTTATGGTTACAATGGTCATTAAACATTTCTGAGATTCCGTTGCAGTTGCCGTTGGGAAATCCGATAGCTTTACTTGTTAGAAAATAAAAAAGATGGTTCAATGATTTTTCTTTATAGCTGGGATCCTCATAACATCATTTCTGCTCGCAAGAAGATTGGTTATCACCGGAGGACTTGCACTCGAGGTCCAGCCTTCATCGAAACCGACTGATTGTTACGAAATATTGAATGTCCGAATAATTTTCGATAAGGAGTTACTTGATAATTAAACGAAATATAAAGATATCATAACAAGCATAAAATTTAACAGGTGCTGATAATCTGATGACAAGAGGCTACCGCTATAGTGAAGGAAAGAAAATACACAAATGTAATGAATTATTACTTAGATAGTCATTGGCCGCTTCACATAACTACGAGAATTGTAATCTTAATTCTAGATAGGAATGATATTATTCTTTGAGTTACTCAGATTCAAATTGTGTGCCAGGTGATGGAAAGTAAGCATGTGCTGTGCCCAATTCTTCATGAACTATATCATTCCTTACAAACCACGGATATCAGGCTATTCGCCTGAGAATATAAGTCAGTCTTCAACTATGACACATAACTTCTACTTATGTGTCAGACCAGACACTGATGGTGAAACCATCATTGTGTATATCACTGTTTCCCAACCAGGGTACCTCGGAACTGCAGGACTCCGCAAAACATTAAGGGTTCTTCAAGAAATAGACAAACAATCCGCACATTATGAAAAGGAAAGTAATTTTTTTCCTGATTCGCTACTGTACTGGAGTAACTTCGGTGAAGCGGGTGTGACTATGATAAGAGTTACCCGATAATAATTGAAGAGTTGCCTTTGGCTGTTCGGCTATACTCAGCTAGACTAGTCGGAAGTCATCAACAATTGTATAACCCATCTTCGCATTACTCAAATTATATGTTGCCAAACAATATCCTCTAAATACTTGTGTGTGGGGTTATATGATATGTGGGGTTACTTATGTGTTCCTACGCGATTTTTTTTTTTGTTGCGTATGCTAAATAAAATCTTCGTAGTTTGTACAAGGAATTTTAAACAATCCTTCACACTCTGCAGAATGTGTGAAACTGGACCCTATTAAACTCTGCATTTTTAACACTACCTGTTAAATAAATGAGAAAAGAAAGTAAATGAAAGGAAGCTTCTAGCTAATTTTCAAATGTGCTTTGATGAATTCGTATGATTAATTTATACAAAAGAATAAAATCATATTGTTTATTTGAAAAGAAGGCTAAAAAAGGCTGTTGGACAATATTAAATTCTTACATATTCCTTTTATGTAACCCTCAGTGTATTAAAAAAATTCTTTAAAACGCAGTGTTCTTTTTTCAACGTACTTCAAAACAAATCTGTAGGCTACTAATTAAAAAATGAAGCAGCAGAAATCTGAAGAAAGTGTATAGACTGAATTTGGAATACAAAAAATGAAAATATTCTGAACAAAAAAAATATTTCTTGGTCTTTTTTTATTTTATTGCACGTGCATTACATTTATACATGCATAATGCATATATTTAACAGCTTCTAATAAATAAGCACTGTGAAAGTTTAATGCACTATTATCTTTTTAGACTAGAAGAGAAAAACTTATTCAGAAATGTTTTGAAAATATTATAAATTCAACTTTTAAACTTACCATTGAATTATCCTCATATATGGGTTGAATAACTTTCACGAACATAGTAGATCCCTCAAAATAATAAGCTGTTGTTGGTACACACACTCGTTTAAGTGTTGAAGCTCTAAAAAATTATTTTAAAAAAACAGATTATATAATAACATTAAATATATTTTTAGGCGTAGTTGTTTCATACATTTTACAAAAAAAAAAAAAAAAAAAAAAAATCATATTGATACACAGAGTATTCTTTATACTTGAGTACATACAAAGAGAGAAAGCGTATTTGAGAAAGGGCTTGCAGATTCCTTTCCTTATACATTGATATTTATGGACTTGTGCCTTACTTTAAATTAAGAAGCTTCTTAAATTAAGGCGGAGAATTTCATAAAAACGCATCCAACTCATCACAGAAGTATTTATTTATAGAATCTAAATTTGTACACTATTTCCTTATAACAAAATGCTCAGTTAATAAAACGTTGATTATGCTTTAATAAGTTACAACTGGAAATGTTCCATAATTAATGCACAAATTTCTCAGAGATATTACAGAAAGAATTTTTTCTTTTAAGCCATTTTTCAGATACTTCTGTGATATAGTACTTTGAGAATATTTTGATTAGTTTGGGAAAGACACTTATAAACAAAAAACTACTCGCTTTCACGGTTGAAAATTTTTTCTTGAGCAAAACACAGCTCGAGTTGTCCTTTTGCAGCAACTAAACAATTAAATTGGAATACGTGATTATGATAGAGCACGTTCAGTTTAGTTACCTTTGGAGATCGATAGCTTCGCAGGACAACTTCATAATGGAAACTGTTCATAATTTATCAGAAAAACCACAGTACAGTCAACGCGTTCAACTACTGAGATTTGGTTTATTTAGTTATGGCAAAAAAAGCTATCTGCGTGAGGGAAGGGAAGCCTTGTGGAAGATTTTCTAACGGAAACTGGCTCATATACACATTAAAAGGTTATCATACTCGACTACAGTCCCGGCTAGACGGGACTTTTCTGAGAAACGAGATTCTGGAGTATCTGATTTAACCGAGAGGATTCCTAGAAAAAAGAGCCCCGCCTGAAGCAAAGTCCCGTTTAGCTAAGGAAACTATGTTGCGGCTAAGAGGGATTTTTTCAAACCTCACCGAAAATGTCTCGGCTGGACCATTGTTCCGGGTAGAGACAACCACTCAGACGAAAGTTCTGCTTCTGAAGCATCACGTGATCCCAATCTGAGCGATAATCGATTGGTGTTTAGCGTTAAAGTCTTTGTAGTAAGTGAAAATGGTAACCTAGCTACGTGGGTTTCTTGGAATTGTGCGGGTTCTGAGAATTGTTTCTTTCGACGTCAGGTCCCGCGTAGCCGAAGCATAATGTGATTGAGACATTACGCAGAGAAAGGACATTACATGGAGAAAATCCCGAAAACGCCCACGCACTCAGCCAGTTTGTTTGGATTTGAGGCCCGGACTGAACTATCAGTGTTCAGCGACTTTACCGCTCGGCCACTTGTGAGCCTGTTCAGCTATTAGAAATATAATCTAAGGCTAGAACTACCATATGTAGAATAAAAATCGAGGGCCATAAGCGTTTTCGAGCGAACTATGAGTGTTTTCTTATCGAAGGTAGAATTAGTTGTCCCTAGAAAAAGCTTCTAAAAACTGACTAAAATTGCTTTTTGATGGAAACTTAGCTGGTGATTTAAAACTGAAACCAATGTGTTTATCAAGTAGAAAATTCCAGAACATTGAAAGCGAAAGGTAAAGAGTTGCTTCCAGTCATTCGGAAATCAAATAAAAAGGTTTGGGCTACTGCGTTAATATTTAAATATTGATTAACTTTTCGTTTCCTGCCGGTAGTTAAGCAATATTGCCATTATCAAAATTTACAACTTAAAACATTATTTATTTTAATTTGAAGCATGGTAATCTGGTCCACATGGTCCTCCAGATCAGCTGATTTATCTCCTCTGGATTTTTTTCTACGGGGTTCTACGAAGACCATTCTTTATGGCATACCGATAACTTCTAAAGTGGACCTGGTGGCACGAATCAGCATCGCTACAGCTACGATATGTGAAATGCCTGGTCCCTTCGAAAATGTTCGCCAGTCCATGTCGCATAGGTATCATGCAAGCATCAAAGCCAGTGGAACTAATTTAGAACACCTCGATGATAGTATAGAATCTTGTACTGTTTTGTTGTGTAATAAAATTTTCACAGCACTTCCTGTTATTGTCCTTCCTGTGTTTTTATCTCTATTTACCGTTGCCCAAAGTTTCGGGCCACCCTGTATATGTTTGTTAGGTGCAAGTTTTTGATAGTCTTGAGATTTACAATTCATTTTACTTAAAATACTAATAAATGTTATTCTATTTTTGTGTTGACAACCTGTATGGTGATTATTCCAATAAGTAAGAGCACCCAGAGAAGCTTCTATCCGGGCCTTGATGGCTGTATGTCAGCCATTGATCATGTCAAATTTCTTCTTATAAGACGCGAGTTACGAATATTAAGAGAAAATTTAATTCATTCTCAAATAATTGATTAAAAATATTTCTTCTTATAAGACGCGAGTTACGAATATTGAGAGAAAATTTAATTCATTCTCAAATAATTGATTAAAAATATTTCTGAATATACAATGCAACTGTGACTAAATATGTGAAGTCTTACCCAATATAGAATGCTGTACCAATACGTTGAACATCGAAACGATTTCTCTCAACCTAGAAAAATATGATAATGATCAGAATAAAAAGTGTAATTAGTAAACTAAAAAGAAAGATGCCTGCGTGGAGGGCTTTCTAAGGAAACTGGTTCACAATCAAATTAATTGCTGAGAAATAAAGAGAATTTTTTTTTCGAAATTATTTATTTGATGAAGCTATTAAATTTTTTTTTCAGCTGACACCAATAAAAATTACATTTAATAATTTGTTTCCAATTTTCGCCAAAGAGTTTTGCATCAAATTTAAATAATTTGAATTTTTATAAAACACACCCGTATATACATAGATATTTATATGTAGTAACTTGATACGTTGAATTGGTTAATAAATAATTTTCTGAAGCTGTTATTGGCTGGTTGAGATTTTCAGCTCATAAAACACCAAAACAGTATGTGAAAGTTATATGGCATGGATTAATCTGGAAACGATATAGTCCAGAGAGGCTTATTACAAGCAATTACTGTTTATAGAATAGAAAGGGAGGATACACAAATTAAAATGAAGAGTTAAAGGCTATTACGAATTTAAGTTAGAATTTTGATTTACATATTTTTTATCTTACATGTATGTATGTAAGATACAAAAGTTGTCTAAATCAACTTAATATAATAATTTACTTTATTAATAGTGTTGCGTGCGTACGGGTTCGTTATGAAATGAATGCACAAGTCCGATGAAAAATGAACAAAAATTTATTATTATCACAACAAAAATGCTTAAATTTTCTCAAATTATCATGCAGTATTACAATATCTCACAGTAGTTATTTTTTAACTACTCAAATATCCAATAGAACGTAATTCAAAACAGCTAAAGAACGCTAATCCGCGAATTCGCTACAATCAACAAGAGCAGTTTTCTAAACAACAACAAACTAAGCAAGCCACTACTACAAACTGAGATGTTTTCCTCCTTTTATAACATTTTAAAATCACGCGCTAGAATTTTCCAGTACTTTCTCGAAATCAAAAAGAGATATTTATTTATTTAATGCACGCGCTTTTGTATTTTTAATTTTTCCGGCTTAGCTTTCTTTTAATATTCGTCACGCGCTGCACTGCGCGAGAATAAAACCATTTAATTTATAATTGAACTAACATTAGCTTTTTAAATACCAAATTCGTAACACTAGTCTCTTAATTCATCATTTTCAATTTGGATACTTTCTCTCTGTGTTCTCAAAATAGTAACAACTTTCCTGACTGCACCATTTCTAGATTAGTGTATGTGGCAAACGCTGATGACGTAGCTTATTCGAAACTTGAAATCAAAATTTCTGACTTAGACCAAAACCTCTCTCTCGGCGATTTCAGATACTAAATAAATGCGCACTTTAGCTTCTCTGTGTGTGCTGCTTGGACGGAATTTCTCTGTGCTCTCTTCCTCTCAACAACAGAGCTAATCTTTCATAAGCGGGGTAAGTTGGTGCCAAACTTGTTTTCGTTTGCGATGTCAAACTTCACATCGCCGTTTCCCAATTGCAAAAAGAAACGGCGACTTAAAATCTAGCATCACCAAAGGAAAATGGCACTAAATACAACACAAACATAAATTACTAGGAATAAATAGTTTCAGTAGAGCCCACCTTAAAATTCGGCAAATGTTTTGGCGAGAATGGCGCACTACATTGGCTTCGCTCATATACACATCTATTTTCACTTAGAAAATCAGAGAATTTCACAAACTCGGCATCGCGCACAACATCGGCTTTGCCCACAACCTTGGCAAAAGCTTTTTTAATCTGTCACCGTATTTTTAGCAATACGTAATTCCGATCGTATAAAATCATTCCCGCACTAACCCAACCACATAGAGGTAACTCTCAAAACACCACACATACTCAATTTACTCTTCGTAAACCACGAGTGCTTTCGAACCGACTTTGTAATTCGATGCTTACATTCGCCTCCAGTAAATTTAAAATTAATCGTCTACTATCGTCGTGGAATTCAACACACTAACCAACTTTCGTTCGAAACTTTAAACATTCCACATCTCTCGATTGCCACATTCATGAAACAAAACTTAAAAAAAAAAAAAAAAAAAATAAATAAATAAAATAAAAAAAATAACTAACTGACCCGAAAAATATCAACTTAATAAAATCAAATGAAAAAATTCATAAATTATAAATTTCACGTCATCGGAAAGGCAACATTCTCCCACCAACAACAGCTTAACCTTCTGCAAATATTAAACAGTAAAACTTTTAAACACATAGTATTTCAAAATTAATTTTTTTAAAAAAATCTTCTGGCTGCACTAAACTCGCACTCATTACAATCACCGAAATAAAGCTCTACGTTTTCCACAAGAAAGTATACAGCCGGAAACCACAACCAAATCAAAATCGTACCAAATTAAAAACTGTCGCCAAGTTTCGCGCTCACCACGATTATGGAAGATTAACCAACAACAGTATCAAAAATGTAAATGTTCTGAAGATAGGCACGATATGAGCGTTAAGTGAACTGTGGCCACAAATGTCAATTTAAATAAAAATGGAATTTAATCCGCCTCGACTGTCAAGTTTCCCAGTTATTAAGGATTTAACATTCTAGGCAATGAGAATTCTTCCTCTTCAATATGCCATCTACGTATAGTAGTTTCTGCCTTTCTACGTTCCAGTGTTCCTACATCCGCATTTCTAAATTTTGCTTTTATTACATGAATATGATAATTTGAGAATGAAGAGGATAAATGTTGAAGTCATGGAGATGGGATAAGGTCATATTTTAGATGCTGTGGGAAGAAGAGGAGTAGCGAACAACGGTCTAGCTAGACCAAGAAGCAGAAAACAAGTGAAGGGACTACTGAAGATTTATGTTTTACTTTACATATTTTTATCTTACACACATATATATACATATGTATTACTACAAAACAATTTTTTGAAAACAAAATATAAACATGCCTAGTATTTTCGCGCATTAAAGCTGCTGAAAAATTATCAGTAAAGACATAAAGTAAAAAATTAAGAACTAATTTTTTCACAAAGACCAAAAATTGAAATTCATAATTAATAAATTTTAAAAATCCTATAAATGCAATAAAGAATTAAAAAAATGTTAAAATCAAAACTTTTCAAACAAGCAATATTCCAATTCAAAAAATTAAAGAAATTTAAAGAGTATAATAGAAGAGAAATTCAATCAACTTCAATGCCACTTCGTCAGGAGGAGGAACACTGAAATCAATTGAAAATCTCTTCCATAAAAAAGCAAGGATCAAATAAATGGCGAGTTTTCTTTCTCAGCAGTTAGTCCTAACAGTCAAGAGTAACATAATTTAAGTTTTTACTTTTTATTCTTTAATCGACTGAAAATGCTTTAATTATTAAGAGACATAATTTGAAAAAAAAATGATTAAGATTGGACAAACAACAAAGAGGGGAATACAGCTACAGTGTTTTTCGGAGAAAACATTCATTGATCAAATTCTTTTGAAATTTTCAGAAAATTTCTAATAATATATTCATCTTACTGAAAACTGAAAAGTATTTTTCATTTTGAAAATTTTTAGTGAAATTTGAATGATACTGAGTGATATGAACTTAAAGTATTCATTCTGAAAATACTGAGCAGATCTTCCCCTTGAAATTTACTACAGATTCGGTCATTTTATATAGGTATATTATGATTCATTAAATAGAGAAGAATTCTACATACATCTTTGAAATAACTCCATATATGATAAATTGCGAATTTCATAAACAAAATGATACATACAGTAATAATAATCGTATAAAAACTTTCTGGCATGTTAATTACGCCTAGACATGGTTCCAGAGCACAACGCATTAAAGACAGGAACGAATGAATGTCCGCATGATCTTGCCACGTAGAAGCTAAAAAAAAAAAAAAAAAAAAAAAAAAAAAAAAATGTATACAAATAAATAAATGAGAATAATTAAGAAATTAGGATTTTAATTGTAAGATTATTTTAATATAATACACGTTTTTACCAGATCAAGCATCTCAAATATTTTGTAACAAAAACTTAACTAGAGAAAATAAATCTGTTATCAAGTAATTTTTAGAATCATTATTATAGTGTATATCATTATGTAAATTTATCATAAAATTCACTCTGCATAGAGATCAAAAGCAGCCATCATTCTTAGTAAAAGATTACCAAGGCTTCGAAAGTTCGAATTTTGTTTAAAACAGAATCCGTCCAAAATTTTTTCAAAGACTTCTGCATCTTGGTTGCAAGACTCTAATATTCATCATGGTTTTAAGTTTCAATTTAACAAAAACGTACAGCTCTGATACAGTGAAAAATGTATTAAATGTGATTAAAATTCACTTCAAGTAAGGTATTTCTACCGCCTTCTTGGCACGCCTTCGTGATGTAGTGGTCTGCACGCTGGGCGCGTATTGCAGAGATCAGCGATTCGATTCCCGGCGAAGGCGTTGCTAATTTTTCATCTTGCCTGCTTCCCAAAAAATACCTAATGTCTCTACAGTGGCGCCCGAACTAAAAAAGGGTGGTGGATGATGACTCTCCACACCCAGGATTTGGCGATTTGGGTCTCTTAAAAACCCCAGTCGCCCTTTAAAAGGGGGAGTATATAAGGTATTTCTCCCGTCTTCCTGGCATACCTTCGTGGTGTGGTGGTCTGCAAACTGGGCGCGTACTCCAGAGGTCCGCGGTTCGATTCCCGGCGAAGGTGTTCCTAATTTTTCATCTTGCCTACTTCCAGAAATACCTAATGTCTCTACACAAGATATAAAAACAATAGTCATGTAAGAAATAAACTGTAAAATGCAAATAATGTACTTTAACAAGAAATTATGAATTCTTTTATTAAGTTCGTACAATAAAACATAGACAAAGCATAGAGCGATTTATTATAAGCATGTGCTTTTAGAATATATAGAGGTGATAACTCAATTAGATGGGAAGTTTAAGGGGCTACAGAAAAATTAAAGTTAGAATCATACACCTTTTATAAGAAAAAATATGTAAAATAAAATCCTAACTTTAATTCTACTATTTAATTTGAATATTTTCCATTTTTACCCTATAAAGAGTTAATATGCTTATAATAAATTTCTCTAAACTGCGGCATTTTAAAATAATACCGTGTCATAGAATTCTTATATAATGCTGTGCATGTATGTGCTTGCAAAGCGCTTTAGCCAATAGTAATATTAAAATTTACCTAAAATATTTTTCAATACATTTAAATAAACAGCCCGAAAAAAATATTACGAAATCAGATTTTATGTAAGTTCATACATTCCATCATTTTATGTAAGTTTATGTTAGTTACATTCTCATGTTCCTTGATCACTGCTTGTATCTTACAGGCATATTATCAACATGGAGCCAAATGGAAGACTGCTAAAAAAAAAGGGGGAGAGTTCTATATCTCTCGTTCTACTGGGCCGATTGACAAAATTCAAACTGTGGTCTTCATGTCTCGAAAGCGCGACTTAGGACATATATTAGATTTATATATAGCACTATTCTAAAATAGGTATTTTGACACAAAATCGTACTTTTTCTGAAATGACATACCAATTTTTTTACATATTTCGATTCTACGACTCAAATTATGCCTAAATATTAAGTTTTGTAAAATCTGGTGCGAAATTTTCGGAGAAATTCAACAATTTATTTCGGCGCTTTTTATTCAGTTTGCGTCAAAATTAGTTCTCTTAACATGTGGCAACCTATTTTCATTTCCATTTTTACATAGTGCGTGAGCGGAAAAAAAAAAAAAAAAGACTCAATCGTTCCTCCTTTCAAATAATGCTCTTTATATGATATTTTTAATTATAATTGTTATTAATTTTAAGCAATTTTTTTCTTATCCGAATTTTCTTTAAATTGTTTACGTTGCATAGTTTCTTCGAATAACTGTTTTAAAAATTTTTTATTTACTCATTTTTAAACTGCGTAGTTTAAATCAAAGGTGCATCTTTTATTATTATTATTTTTTTTTTCAAAATAGTTTTCTTTATGCTATATTTTTAGTCAGTTACTATTTTAGGTAATTTTAAAATTTTTTAGACTTTTATTTTAATTGTTAGTGTTGCAATTGTCTCTTCAGATAGTTATTTTAAAATTTTCTATTTATTCATTCGAACTGAGCATTTTAAATATATTTATTAATTTAAATTTTCCAGAATTTGATTTTATTTATTTGAATTGCGTTTCTTTCGGAAGAATACTTTGTAACTCAGACTACGATGCATTTGAAAATTGCATATATTAAAAGAGGAAATACAGTAAAGCACACTTAACACGCCTTTCAATGTTCCGTTCAGAAAAGCTATATAAATAAGAGAGATGTATAACCGACATTTTAACTTAGGATTACTTGCATACACTGCTTAAACAGTTTTTCTTCAGGCATTCTGCTTTATTCCTGCTCTTTTTCTTCAGGCATTCTGCAAGTATATTAGAAAGCACCCATCTTTTTTAAACATCTTGGTATTTCTGACAATCATTTTAAATAATGTTATCGCCTTCCATTTTATAAATGCCCACAAATGGCCGAGCGGTAAAGTCGCTGAACACTGGTAGTTCACTCCGGAGTTCGAATCCCGGTAAACGGGCTGGTTGCATGGGCGTTTTCATAGATTTTCTCATATGTAACGTGTATGCCAGCTGGTTCCCTTTAGAAAGTTCTTCTCGAAGGCATCCTTCCTTTTAGGCAGATAGCCGTGCTTTCCGTAACTTAATAATCCAATTCAATCCATTTCATCAGTATTTAAGTCAGAGCCGTTATCAACCTTTAGCGGTTAGCATTTTGAAGGTATGAGATGAAAGGAAAGGCTGGTTTCATTAAGAGGTTTTGGTTTATTTAATTATGGCAAAGCATACTAGGGCTATCTGCCTAAGAAGAGGGATGCCTTCTTGGAGGACTTTCTAAGGGAAGCTGGCTCGTATGCACGTTATACATGGGGAAAACCACCAAAACGCCCATGCAGCTAGCCCGTTCGCGGAATTTGAACCTCGGGTTGAACTACAAGTCTAAAACAGAACCATATAGTCTAAAACCAGTCGTTCTTCACTTTAATCTGCAATGATATCGTTTTTGTCTTTTTTTGTTAACCACAAGCTGAATTGATGGTATTTGCTGGTGTACACGTCCAAGTGTTTTCTCTTTGAACCCCTAAATTCTTTAAAATATCCTGAAAGTATATTGAAAAGCGCCCAACTTTTTTAAACATCTTGGTATATCTGACAGCCAAATTTCCCTTCAAATTTTTGCTTACTTTTCTCCCTAATTTTCTTCTTTCCTTCTACAGTTATTTTCAGTGCTCACACAATAAAATTAAGAATTTTCGATTGCTAGACTTTTATAAATTTTGCATTCTTGTCATTTGTTTTTAAATATCAATTCCAGCAACTGCGTTTCAGTTGAAGACAGCTTTTCATTTTCTAGACATTTTAACAATAAACAAAGTATAGAGCAAAGTCCAAAGGATAAATATTTTAATTAAAAGATTTTTTGCTAAATGACAAAGAAATAAAACAGTCTAGCAGTGTTTATTCTGTACCACCGAGTGACCTGATTCTTATATCGGCTGAAACAATATAAATCATATTAAAGAAGATCATGTTTTTTATACAATCTATAACGCGAGAGAAAAATTAGTTTCTTAAAACATTCTTTCTAAGAGGATTAATATAAAAATTTGTATATATATATATATATTTAAAGCTGGGACTTGAACCAAACTGTCAAACTTTTAAAGTTTAATTTACATGGCATGGTGGTTATAATTAAAGTTCCACTTTGAAATGATCATAAAAGGAAAACTACCGGACCAAATGTTATCAAACTTAGGAATCGTGTAAAGGAGGTTATGAGAATTTATTTTTCCGCGGGGGGGGGGGGAGTTCAAGAACTCACCACCAGCGGAAAAATGGTACTGTATGCGATATTGTTAAATGAAATACGACATGAAAACATCGGTTTAAAATGTGTTTAATCGTTTCCGAAACGTGTTAGAAAGCAAGTTCAATGCAGCGTTCAGCATTTTCCGAAAGCAAGTTAAATCCTGTTACTGCATTCTCAACAGCAGCTCTTAGCATATCAGGAGGAATGTTACGGACATGTCGGTGTATTACATTTTTCATTTCTGCCAAATTGTTTAGATTATCACCATAAACAGTGCTTTGAGATAACCCCATAGCCAAAAGTCACAGAGGTTGAGGTCTGGCGGGAAGAGGGTAAGTGTTAGGCTTATAAGACGTTCATTCGTGAAATGTTGTCCTAAGTAACTGTGCGACACATGTGAGGTGGGGCCCAGACCTGCATAAAATTCGTAGTATCTAAAATGCCATGTTACTGCAGTTCATGTATAACATTTTAAACATTGACTTCTAAGCGAGCTGCAATCACAGTGGTCCCAGCTGTCGACTGCTCTTCCAGAGAAAAATGGTTCAAGTTATGAAACTAGCTGTCATTCAACACTAAACGTGTGGAATGACTGCTATGCAATCGAATGCAGTAGGAGAATGCAATGGAACTAGATAGATAACATGAGGGATTTCTTTGGCCCAAATCGATTAAAAGCGTTTCGAATCAGTATCTTCATGTTTTAGGGTCGAATTCAGGCTTCAAAAATTACAAATTAGCAATCTGTAAGAAAACGATTTCCAGATTGTAGGCACTTATGCGAGTGATTTGCGATCTCACATTTTCTAATCGCTAATTCGTCGTTTTCACGGACGAATTTCTCCCTTACACGGATAGCGCATTCGACTTTTATCGACTTTAAATGATAATTTGCTTACTTCAAAGTTTCTTAAGGGTATACAACATATTAGACTCGTGTAACAAAAGGTTAAGTTAGATTCCGACCCCTATTTCGTTTAACAATA